TGTTGTTGTTGTTGTTGTTGTTGTTGTTGTTGTTGTTGTTGTTGTTGATAATCTAATAAAAGTAAATACATAAAAAAAAATAATAAATTTTTTCTCGTTAAAACTCTTATATTTTTACTTTTGTGTTAGATTTTGTTCTTGATCATTTGTTTGATTCATAAGAAAACTGATCATATGAACATCATTCGAATCAGAAGATATATCAATTGATGGTAAATATTCATTTGAATTATTTTTATTACTAATTATGCCTTTATTACTATGATTTAATTGATTATCATCAATAAATAAAGGATAAATATTTCTAAAATATTCACTAATTGTTGGACAATCATTAAAATAACATAATTTCGAACATGATGAAAAATTTGAATATTTTTTTAAATATTGATTTAATTGAATATGTTTAATAAATAATCGAGCACAATCACATTCAGTTAAATTTTCTACTCGAGGTAAAATAATATTTAAATGTTGTTGATAATTTTTTGAAATATATTGAATAAGATGACAACGAGAATCAGATTTCATTTGTGGTAAATTAACATCAGATAAATCTAAATGATGTAATCGTTGTGATAATAAAATAAATATTTGAGGATCAATTGTACGAAGACGTGAACCTAATTTTAAATTATATATATGACGGGCTGCAAAAAGTGTTTTTACATTTAAATCTTCAATATCTATTGTTAATGAATCTAATGTTGGAATAAATTGATCGATAGATACTTCAAAATGTGGTTTTATTATTTCTAATCCTCGTAAATTTTTATGAGATAATAAAAATGAACTAAGATTGATTGAATGAGCTTCAATTGAATGAATTGTATAAGAATAAACATGTGAATAATATGGAAAAGTATTTGCATCAATTGTATCAACATGACGATGAACTATTAATGATCGAATAAGACCTTGAAATTTATCTTTTAATAAAGATAAACTTGGACGAATAATTGATCCATGAAAATGAAGTTCACCTATATTTGTATTATTAAAAATTTTTTCAAATGAATATAATGATGGTAAATAATCTTGTTGTGTATGAATATAAATAATTAATTGTGACACTATTAAACCAGAAAAACAATTCGAAGAAAAATTAAATTGATCATCAATATTAGTTGAATTATTTTCATCAATATCAATCTAATTATATTAAAATATATTATTTATTAAATTAAAATAAATAAACCAAATATTCTTACTTCTGTTAGATTATTTCTCATTGGTATAAGATGTAATGATAAACGTTTATTTTGAGGTCTTTGTTGAAAGATTTTTGAAGTTAATGAATGATTATGAAATGTAATATATTTAAATCCATTAAATCGAATAAATAAATCTATTTGAGTATTATTATCTGTTTCAGAAAATAACATTGATAAAGAATCAAATTGATTTGATTGAATTTCTATATGATTTTCAATAAAAAATTCTATTGAAATAGTACGAAAACGATTTTGATATTTAAAATCAGAACCAAATGGAGATTGAAAAGTTTTTTCAGTTAAAGAATTTCCTTGACAATATAAATGTGAATAAGTTTTTATTTGTAATGTTGAATTTAAATCGATATTTGATTGAAAACATGAACAATTAAGTAAAGGAAATATTGAACAAGAGGCTGATGAATAAACTAATGGAAAATTTATTAATATTGGAAATAAAATTAATATATTCGAATATAATTGGATTATCTTCATTCTAAATATTTAATTTTTATTTCAATTATTTTATTATTATCTTTGAGAACGATTAAATTCTTTATCAGAAATGAATAACAAAATGAAGATTATACTTTCTTTTTTTTTAAAAGAACATAAATATTTTCATTATTCATAATTGAGAGTCATACCACTTACTTTTACTCTTCTATAAACTTCGATGTAAAACTCTCTTGAAGAGTACTCATGAAATCTTAACAAGTCTATATTAATATGTTCGATGTACGGTTTCAGAATGATTATACCTTATGCTCGAGTTAATTATTCTTATGTGCAGTATGAAACTATGTACAACTGTAGAAGAAGAAAAAAAAGCAAGCAGAACTTCTTGTTTATATTAGAGTTGGAAGGAAACAATAACTACTTACTTGTGAGTCTCACTTTTGTCTGTTTGTTTTTGTAACACTTTTTTTTTAATGTGAGAGGAAATCCGTACATTCATTTTCCTTATCAAACAAACTAAATAAAAGCTTTTTCTTTTTAAGTTAAATGACCTGTAATGCATCACCATAACTTTGTCTATAACTTCTTTCAGCCGAAGATAGATTTAATTCAATCTTTCAACAAAATATCTGAAAATTCTTCATATTATTATAACTTTTTTCTTGTTATATCTATACAATACAGATTGAATTACAAAAAAAAATCCAGTAAATTCTAATTTCCAGACTTTACACATATTTGTCCTTCGATTAAACAGATCTCATTGAGATTAGTATTCTATCGGTTATATTGAAATATGGCAGAATTATTTCAATGATAATATCACCTTCCTTTTTACAATGAATATTTGAGTATTTTATTTCAATATTGACAAATATTATTATGTCTATTTTCAAGGTATTAAGAACAATATGATTTCTTATACAGATGTCGGAAATCTTCTTATTTTTAGAAACAAATAATATTATTTGCATTAAGCAATTATCTCAATATTGGGAAAGATTGATTATCAGTCTGGGAAGAACTTTATTTTGATGGATGTTCCTTGAAGATACCAGCAGCTACCATTAAAAAAAACTCAGTTTAAGTAACATTTGTTTCTCTTGACATTTCTAGGACTAAATAACATCGTAAATTCATCAGAATATGTTAACTAAGAACAACTTATGCGAGAGAAATGTGTCGTTTTGCTTTTTATGAATTGATAGACGGTTCTTTTTCACAGATGACTAATAATCAGATATAGAAACAAAAACGAATGTTATAAGAATCAATACTTCAGTCAATCCTAATCAATAAAGAATAATTATCTAATCCAAACAACAATATTTTACCTTATTTAGAAAATCATCAAACAGACATCCTTCAAACAGATGTTTTATAGGTTTTTCCGAGTGATTAAACTATCATTCCAATATTTTTTATGGATATATATATATATATATAAATGTAATTGTTGCATCATCAATAAATACATAGATAATTCGATTGCTCTCCTATCATCATAATTATCAGAAAATGAGTAATGATATATTGTGCATTCAGTTATAAGACATCATTTTGTTGACACTTGTCAAAGTTAAATATACATATCGATAACAAAAAGAAGGTCATCTCCTTAGTGGTTGTCTCTTTCTTTTTACAATGATGATGACGCAAAGAAAGAACGAAAGAAAAAAAGAGGAACAAAATCAATAATTGATTCAAGCAAATTAATTAACAGAAATATGAAACTATATTCTAATTCAATTATAAAAGAAATAGATGATAATTACAAGATAAACTTACTTTTTTTTCTTTTTCTTTTATACACAATTTAAATCATTCAACGTTGATGTTCTTTCGAGTAAAAAGCAAACAAAAAAAAATGAGAATGAAGAATGAGGAAACGTTGATGCATACATCGTTGTTGTATTCGTGCCAACTGATAACAACATACAGCAAAAACCACCAGCGTTCTCTCTTACTAAATAACGCACAACAATACTATTAATAGTCTATCTAGAGACTTCTTTCTTTCTGTCCTTTCTATTTCTTGCGTTCTTTTGGTAAGAGTCAGAATTAGGACAAATATATATAAACCAGATAAATTCGAGAAAACAACTAAAAAGAAGAATCAATCACAAAAAAAAACTATTTTGGTATTGTGATTTTTTCCCCTAGTAATTAGAAATATGTCATATATTTTTGAGCATGTAGGAGACGAGTATGATGATCTCGGTGATGAGATTATCTTCCTTACAAGCGTCTCAAATTATCTACATATGTCACACGCCTATATAACAACAATGATATTTACAACTTCTATTAGTAAATATCTCCCATTGAGAACTTTATCCAATGGAACGAGTTTTCTTCAAAACATATTTTTGTTATAATAAACATGAATATTATTTTTGTAATCTTGCTTATTTTTATAATCTTTGTAACATTAACATATTTGCATTGAGGTTTTTTGTTGAGAGTCCATCATTTCTATATATGTATATCATAAAAAGATTTGATATCGAATCTAATGTCTATATAAAACTAAAAAGTAATTCAAAAATGTCAATGTAGTAAAATTTAATAACTGTAAAACTTCTTTACATTTCTGTATCAAAGAAAAAAATTGTTAGTGATAATGATGATGATGATAGTATTCTCTTATATCAACAGATATACTTTCAAAATAAGATAGAAAAAAAATAGAATTGCATTTAGAAACAATAACAAATGTCACATTAATGAATTATTAAATACACTAATATTTATATTGATTTGAAAAAGAAGATAAATAATCAAAGAATCTCTCAACAGCATGTGTCCTTATTTCTTTTTCTTTTTTATCATTGAATATATGATGAGAAATAATCTGTTGTTTCTTTGACGTTCATCACATATTAATGTTAAATGATTAAATCGATTAAAGACATCATTACATATATAAAAGATATGAAAACTTATTTATTTGACATAAGAAGAAATGCAAGCAGCTGATTATCGTCTTGTTCGTTCTTATATAACTGCTGGTATTATGATGGGAATTAAACAATCTGTAGTTCCAAAAACAATTAATAATTATTTTTCATATTGGTTATATGGTCAAAGAAAATCAACTAAACAAATTCTTGTTAATCTATCTCGTTCATTACCTTGTCTTGTTTGTTCACAAGAAAATCATCAACATGATTATATTTCTTTACTTTCAGTAGATCTAAATGCATTTATTCAACGTTTATCATTATTTGATAATGAACAATTAGCAATACTTTATTCATTACTTGATGATGATCGACAAGTTTATGAATATGCTATTCGACAACAATATGAAGATTATAAACGAATATTAATTAAACAATTAAAAGAAAAGCTTGCCGGACAATATTATCTTATATAATACATATGTCAAAGAAATATATTCATTGTTTTGATCTTTTTCTTTTTAATTACATCTATTAACAAAATAAATATAATGGCTCTATAGTCTAGCGGTTAGGACGTTGATTTTTTTGACTCTGATAAGTTCTCTTATAATTAGAATAGGACCGTATTATTTTTTCGTTTTTCATTTTGTTAATATTCAAAATATAGCAATAACAAAAAAAGTAAAAAAATGTCGTTCTTTTTAACTTCCATTTTATCTTTTTCGTTTTATGAATCTGATTATTCTGCTTGATGTCAGTCTTGTCTACCATTAAAATATTTTAAATCAATTGAAATTCAGTATCCACTTGAGACGTTTACTTGCAAGCACGTCTACTGATAAAGATATCAAATGTAAGGCATGACATGTCAGAGTTACATTGCAATTCCATTTAGCCCATTAGCTATTCCGCATAGTGTCTTCTAATATTCTTTCCTATATTCATTAATCGAACTAAATTATTTTCTAATTATATATATATATATTTCATTAAATGATATCTTTTTTTTTATTAAGCAGACTTCTTTTTTTCTAAATGAATTTTATTTTATATTTGTCTTTAATAAAATGTTGAAGAAAATCAATAAGAATTGCTCTGATGTTATATTCATGAAAAGGTTTCAAATGAATTGTATTGATATATTAGTTATATCTACTTCAAAATATCATCTATCACAAAAAATGACGAAGATTTATCCGATCGATGATATTTTTCAATCAATGAAATAGAGATTTAAGTCGACTGGTGCACGTACAAATGATAGAGAAGCGATTACTAAATCAAAGAGATAAAAACGAAGCGTAAACAATAGTAAAGAGTAATCCAAAAATTTCAACTTCTCTCTCTAAATTGATGTTATCTATATAAATAAATAAATACATGACTGTAATATACAGCTGTGTAGAGAAAGATAAAAAATATCATCTGTGAAGAAAATAGTTCGAATTACATTGACATCATGAAGAGTTATAGTTATTTTATTGATCATGGCTAAACATTTTACATCTTAGGTTTTTTTGCAAAAACAAAATATATTTGTAAGGTTTGAAACGAAATATTGTTTTCTAGAAATTTTTACATGGTTCACTATAGTTTGACAAGCTTCATGAGAATATAAATATAAAAAATTCTGATCTTGTTTCCAATATAAAACTAGGACGACATCAGAAAGACTAATAAAAATAAGTTAATTTGATTGACTGTTTTATCTGTTCATGCAAATTGAGAAGAATTATTTTCAGCTTCAGTATGTGACATTGCATCTCGAAACATCAATCAAACGTCGATCAAATAACGTCATTGAAAATTAACTATACTATGTCATGCAAGATATGTGAGATTATTATTTATCTGTTTGGTTTCCTTCAAGTTTTGTAATGAAACCAGGATGAGACTTTTGTTTTTTATATTCATGCTATTGTAGAGCTTGTTGAACTCTATCGAATCATGTATAAATACCTAGAAATTAATATTTCACTCGACTTTAATCGCTCAGACACTAGAAGAATATTTTTGGTTTCGAAGAAAAATTTGCGATAGAACATGTTTAGTCATGATCAATAATCGAGCTAAGTTTTTTTTCAGATGATAGTTTTACTCTTTCTCTATAAAATTGTGTATTTCAGTCAACTATCTACAATATGTATTTACATAGATAAGGTCAATTTATAAAGAAGAATCGAAACTTTTGGACTATCCTTTCGTTTGTAAACATTTGCAACAGAGACTAAACTAGGAAAATAGCATTATTATAAAAAATTCATTTTTTTTCGGGGATAATGAATGAAATCGAGAGCAAAAGTGGCAAACAATTCATTTATAATCCTTATTTCAAATATTTAAGATTATTGAAACCTGATTAAACCTTTATGAAATACTATTGGCAATATAAGAATGAATTTGATTTATCCTTTGATAGAGAAGATGATGACTAATAAAATGTAAGCACTAACTTAACTTCTTTCAATTTAATCTTAATAGTTACAAATTACTTGTCATATGTTTATGTGTACAATTTTCCTGAGTTCAATATGTTATGGAACAAAGATGATTTCACACTATCACTCAGTGTCTTTCTTGTTTATTATAGGAAAAGCATAGCTATATATAGGATGATGAACAACACGCTATGTTGGAAATATCCATATAAGATATAAGAAAAAATCCTAGCGAGCGCTAAAATCTGAAAATTCCTAGCTAGAGAACAGAAAGAGAAAATGACATATGTATAAGACAAAAAAGATGACGCACATATAATGAGCCTTATTCACGGTTTGCTTGTTGTCCATGAACATGTATTAAAAAGTGGCTGTACTAGCTTATTTGTTAGTAAGGGCAGGGTCTTTTCTTTCATCTACCTTTTTTGCATCCTCTTGTTCACACGTGCGAGCAAGATGATGAAAAAAGATAGATGAAAGAAAAGAGACCATCCTTAGCAACAAATAAGCTGGTACAGCCACTTTTTAATACATGTTCATGGACAACAAGCAAACCGTGAATAAGGCTCATTGTCCTAAAGATATGAGAATAGTATGACAAACCTCGGTTATATTTTCTTTCTGTCTCTCTTATTTTGAATACAGAACAACTAATAGTCATTCTAAATCGATATGGCTGCCTAAATCTATGACTATTAATGAAGCTCATCATATATTATCCACTATATTATATAGTAATAATATTGATACAATACCTGTTGATCTTGCTGATTACGTATTAGTGTATGAAAATATAATGATTTCATTAGAAAATGGAAATAAAGAATTATATGAAGAAATTCTGAAAGTTTCGTTTCGCTTAAATCGAATTGCATTACCACCATTTCGATTATTAATTGTTCATAAATCTCAATTATTATTATTAGAACGTAAAGAATCAAAAACATTATTAAAAGAAAGTGAATTCATTTCAATCATACAATTACTTATGTTTCATTTAATTAAAAATAATATTAATCAATCAGAAAATGAAAATTTTGATTATACAAAAGCTATTAGTACTATAAGTAAAGATCAAAATCATCAATATTGACCAATACCTGAAGTTAAAATAGGAATAATTCCTTCATCACAATTAATTCATGCATTAAAACATAATAAATTACATCAACATATTACTAAAATTATCCAAACTAATGATTTATCAAAAGATATAAAAATAAACATAGAAGTTTGTTTTGAATTATTAGAAAAAAATATTTATTTTAGTTAATGCTGATAAATCATACATTAAATCATTAAGATCAACTATGTCAAAATTAGTCCAAATATATGATTATCAATTATTAATAGCATTACCTTATGATCGTTTATTATTATCTCAATTTTCTACAACTAAATGTTTTGATGGTAGATATGCTCAAGGAATTTTGGCTAATGGAAAATATTACTCATTAACTCATAATGCATATACTCCTATGTCGAAATTAGAAATTAATCCTGGTTCTATTATCCAATTGAAATTTACTATTCAACCTGACACTGTTGTTCATGGAACTATATGAACTTAAAAATGAATTCGATTACTTGTTTCTTTTTATACATACATTCATTGTTTATGAATTCAAAAATCAAGTAAAAAAAATATTTCTTTTTAAAAACTATATATATATCTTTTTTGTTTTTTCAAAGAAATCACTGAAAATTATTCCGGTAGCTCAAGATGGTCATGGTAAATATTCGATTGATTATCCAACAGAGTCATATGGTATCGAGCTTAAAATAAAAAAAATAATAATATAATGAAGATACAATCAACAGTAAGCAAATATATTTGAATTTCGACAAACTTTCTTTTTCAAATTCCAGAATCGTAATACGAAGCAAGTTAAATATATCGATCTTGAAATAAATGATTATGTACAAAAACGAACGGATTCAACTTTTCAGTAAGTTATTATTATCCTAAAAATATTATTTTTTTTTTTAGATTAAAAAATTTGGTAAAACTAAGTCCAATCTTATATGAATTATTAACTGGTAGAAAATTAGATATCAATAATGATCCACCAAGTTCAACATCAACAGCAGCACAGACAACGACATTCAAAAATTGATCAATCGTTTTCTTCACTTTAATGGCTTACAAGCACCACCATGAAATAGTGCTGATAGTGAACAACCATACCATTGATAATCTTTCAATATTTTTTTATTCGTTCTTCGACTTGAACATTTTTTTTTCTTTCGTTATTTTTTTCCTGTTGATATTAAAGATGATGTTCTCTTTTATTTCTGGTTAATCATTTATTCATTTTCCTTAAAAGAACTTTCTATTCATTTATTTTCAGATTCTGTTTTGCTAATCATATCCCATGAAACAAGAATGAAAACTAAAACTGAATTGATGTTTTTACTAGAACATAAAATTCTTCATTTTTAATACTTTGTCGATTAAAAGTGACGAAATTCATAAAGAATTTAATTTGTTTATACTTTTTTTTAAAAAGACTATTCATTGAATAATTGCAATAAATTAACCACAAAAACTTGTTTCATGTCATGTTTATGGATGCTTTACATCAATTGCTTCTTGATAAATAAATGCTATTCGAAGTATTTTAAATATAATTCATGTGAATATGTTTTTTTTTCTTTACCATCAATTCGTTCTATATAACAATTAATTTCAGTTTCAAATACTCAATTTTACATTAAATCAGATAGTACTACTTATTTGAATCAATATTTTAAACATCTCGAACTTATAGTTTATAATTCGTTTCTTGAAGTATCAAAATATGATTAGAATTTTACACGAAAATGTCTCTTTGAAGATTTTCATATTGTTCATTAGAAATATAATCAATCATCAATGATATCCTATAAAACAACATTGATTAACTAAATTTTGTGATAAATCTCATAGGAAGAATAGTTCGAATGTAAAATGAAAGAAAATCTTTTAAACTGAATGATAATCAGAAAACATTTTTTAAAATTTTCTTCTAATCAAATAGATGTAATCCATCGAAATATTCTTTGAATAATTCATACACCGAAAGAACATAACCGTTTATATGTTTCTAGTACATCTTTCTCATTGGTACGGACCCACACGGCAAAGAGTATAGTGAAATAAGAGAAACAATATCGGCGCATAGTGATTGGTGTTATCGGTTTTGGGAGAGGCGGAACATAAATTGGACATCGACAGATAGAGAAAATTATTCTCTATCAAACTATATTTTTTGTTTTCTATAAAAAAGTAGCTTTAAAAAGATATTCCAGATGGCGTATTGCCTTCACGTGATTGGTTGAACACATCTCAACGTTGAGTCATATCGCATCATTTCCCTAAGAAATATTTCTCATCATTTAGATAAATATGAACGCATCTAAGAAGAATATTTATATTTCGAAAAATTTCTCTTTGATATATAAATGTATTTCTAAGATGAAATGCATGTTTTTTTTTCATAATAATATGTTTATTTTGAAAATTTAGAGTATGTATGAATCACTTTTCGAGAAAATAGAAATGTTTTGCTATTGAAATAATTTATTTAATACAAAAATTTAAAACTAGTCATAAATTTCAATAGGCGTAGAGAACAATTAAATAAATGAAGAGATTGACAAAAAAAGATAAGGTACTTTGTAGAAAAAAAAATCTTTCAAAACTGTACAGAAGGTCATACAGAATTTAGACAAAAAAAACAATAAATTATTTATATCAATGAAAAAAATTGCTTTCATAATGAAATTTAACACAAATAAGACCATAGAAAAAAGAAACAGAACAACAAACGAGACACATTGAAATAAAAAAGAAAAGTTTAATTAAGATCAGGTTGACTTGCAGTTTTCGTTGTGCGAAAGTATTTTCGAAAATGAGGAGTGCGACGAGGTGTTAGTGATACTGTCAGTGATGGAGTTTTCTAGAAAAAAAGATTCAGATCATTTATGTGAAGATATAAGAAATACTCACAAAATTCAATGATGTAAGATTATTTTTCATTCCATTGAGCTTCGGAGTTGAACACGCATATGGTGATTGAAATACACGTTCATCTTCAGAAGATTCCTATAAAAAAATAAATGCACACAATGTAATGTAATATACTAAAACGAGTAATATAAATACTGATAATAGTCTGCGGCGTTTCGACGTCGTAATTTGAAGATCCTTCTTCAAGTAAAATGTATGATCAGTTGCAAAATTCGTTGATTGAGAATGTAGCGATGGGTTCAATATATTACTATCAGAATATGTAGTGATTGGATCGACGTACGAGTTATTTGATGCCATCTCAGAATGATATTCAGTAATACTCTAGCTAATGTAACATGAAAAAATTTTTAACAACCTGGAAAAAAAAGAGAGCTGGATACCAACTGTATCGTTTACGTAGATAGATTGAGATTGTATTGATGTTACATGAAATGAATTATTTTGAATTGATGAAGGTGTTAATCCGAATTTATTCGACTTGATTTTCACTTGTTGAATTGATGAATTGTAAGTCTAAATAAAGAAAAATTTAATAAAAAAAGGAAACTAATAATAAAGTTATTGGAAGAACCAGAATATTTACTCTATTACAACAAAGATCTTGATGACATCTACAAAAAGCTGTACAAGATAAATTATTTTTATAACAGTTGCAACGAGTACAACCACCATAACTCTTCAAAACTGTTTGAATAAAAATCATTAGGTGTATCTTGATCAGGATATAGTAGTAATGGTTTTTGTGTGATGATTGACCGACGACGATGTTTAAAAGAATGAGTAAATATCTAAATGGAAACATGAGTAAAATAATAAAATGCTAATTTTATCAAAATTACTCTTTTTCGTGTTCGTTTCAATTTATCTCGTTTTCGTTTTATACTTTCATTTCGTATTACAACTTCATTTGTACATTGATCATTGATGACCATTTCAAAAGATAAATCATCGTCGTCGGGACTAGCTGCACGTGTGTCATCCTTTGAAAATTAAAATCAAGTGTTAAAAAATCTATGTCATTCAGTTAAATCAGTCATTGATAATACTTGAAATATAGTTTCATTTGTTAATGCTGTTTGTGTTGAATCTATTGTATATTTGTCTATTGCTTCAACATCAGTTGACGTTGTAATATCTTCTTCTTCTTGACGATCAGCAAATACATTGTTCCAATTATTCTAAAAAAAAATAGAAAATTAATAGAACCTAAATCTACATTTTTGAAAATTCGAGTTTACTACAATTGGTTCAAATACTTCATATGTTAATGCTGTTTGTGTTGAATCTATTGTATATTTTTCTATTGATTCAATATCAGTTGACGTTGTAATATCTTCCTCTTGTCGATCAGCAAACACGTCGTTATAATTGTTCTAAAAAAAGATAGAAAATTAATAGAACCTAAATCTACATTTTTGAAAATTTGAGTTTACTATAATTGGTTCAAACACTTCATATGTGGATGTGGCTTCTGTTATACCATTGGTGATCAATGATGCTTCAGTAGAATTTCTTGAGATAATATCTTGTTCGGATTGTACAAATGATATACTACTACTTGAAATTTGATCATGAATACCAATTAATGAAGATAATGTTGGTGCTGCATTCGAGCTGCACTCAACTGTAAATTCAGAAGTATATTTCTACAAGCAAAAAAAAACATTTGTACGTTAAACTAAAGTCATTCATAAAGAAACTCACTTCATTATTTTCACCAACATAAAATGATTTGTTTCTGTCTTCAGTAGAAAAGAAATTAGATTTTGTAGTAATTGTTGTTGGATGATTTGTAATATCCATTAATATTCTAGCAGGATTTGAATCAAGACATGAATATTTTTTTTTTCGTTTTGGTCTTCCTATTTTATTTGCGACAGATACTGGTTCAATTCCAACAACAAGTGATTTGTAGCAAATTGCATGCACTAATTGATTTAGTAGTGTACCACTTAATTCCTTATTATAACGAGTTTGATATGCTTTACGAACTTTTTCTTCTCGTTCAATTGTGCAAATTTGCGTATACTTGCAACGAGCTTGTCGATCTTTTTTCCCACATATTAAGCATAAAATTATTTTTCCAGGCAACGACGTCGATGAACAATATGGTATAACAAACAGCAATAAACAATTCTTTATTTCTTTTGCATACATAGACGATTTATCAATAGTCTAAAATGATGACAATAGTCTTTATCATCATATGATGTTTCTATGATTATGTCCAGCCAATATGGTTCATACTCAACGACCAATCAGTGACGATCTCTTAAACCGAACTAGGGCGAGTAAAACTATCACTACCAAAATCATTAAATCACTTTATAAGTTCAAAATATAGTATCAAAAGTTCTTGAAAAAGTGGCAAGATATGTGGCGCCCTCTCTTGGTGCATTTTCCGATATTGATTATTCACTTCGTCGCCTTGTGGGTACGTACCACATAGAAAGTACATGAACTGTGATCTACTTCATATTTTTATCAATGGTAAATATATTTATGAATTATTAGAAATAAACCAAAGAAAATATCATCACATAAGAATAAATTGAGTACTATTCATCATTCTTGTTGGACATATTCAATAAATAACAACATTCTTCTAACAATAAACTCATTAAATCATTGATAATTTCGACTATTGAGAAATGCATTATTGTTGTTCTTCTTGACGACATCGGTCAAATAAAATGACCAAGTATATTCTGAAAGAAACGACGAATTAGAATATTAATTATGAAATGTGATTGGTGTTTCTAAATGGCAACGCCAATCACATTTCTTAATTTAGCTTTATTTGTCTAGTGCGTTGGATCGTATATATATTGATCTTTCTCAGATGAAACAAATAGATAAGTAAGGATAAATATGTTATGTTCATGTTCATGTTTCGAATTGAATGACTTAACCGATGAAATTCTTTTGCTTATTTTTGAAAAATTGGATAATCTTGATATACTTTATTCTTTGCATGGTGTTAATAAACGATTGAATAAAATAATACATGATCCATTATTCATAAGTAGTCTGAACTTTGTCAAATGGTCATCTAATAAATTTCTTAATAAATTTTCTTCGCATGTTATACTTAATCGATATTGTTTACAAATTTTACCTGATATATCTATGAAAATCAAATGGCTTTACATTGAATCATCATCTGCGAAACATATTCTACATGCTGCAGATTATCCGAACTTATATGGACTTGGCCTATATAATATGAAAGAAAAGACAGCTAGACGTCTTTTTACTGGTAAGAAAATCTCAGTAGAATTCCTTTTAATTCTAAACAAATGATAAGACACCTTAAAATGAATACTAATATTTTCCTGAAATTATTAATATACTTAAATAGGTCATTGAATATACGAAAGAATTTTCTCTAATTTATATTTCAATATGAACTTATCAGTGGCGGATCTAGATTTTTTATGATGTGGGGCGATTCGTTGTGACTAGAGTAGAGCCCATCGGGTCCAAGAATTTTTGGATCCGGACCCGATGGGCTCTAGACTAGGGGCGCTTCAGTGAAGAGGACAAGGGACGATTATAATCATAGAACATAATATCAGATTATTTTTAAGACTTTTCTGCTGAGAAAAAGCGAAAAATTTTTTTTGGGCTAGGGGTAATCGCCCCATCACCCCTCTAAATCCGCCACCGAAACTTAGAATAATTTAGAGAAATTTTGATTTCTGATTGTATATTTCTGTATTTAGATAAAAATCTTTCATGTGGCATTTTTAAAAAGCAAATAACAAGACTTATTATAACAATTGATGAAAAGAAAAAAGATCTATTTACAAAAGTGAAAATCTGTAGTTGTATTTTTTCTATATTTATAAATTTAACACATTTAACATTTTCTGAATCATCATTTGAAAATATTGTCCGATTATTAATTGATGTTCCATTTCGAAGTTTCTCTTCTTCAAGTCTTTTGGTATTAAATATCAAGATTCAAAGTTTCTCACAATGTCTTTATCTTCTTGATGGTCGTTTCAGTCAACTGCAAACACTCTATGTTGATTTGGCTAAAGTTCTTTCAATAGATCTACCTGAAAATAAAGTTTGTTTATTTAAAAGAAAATAAATTTCATATTTTTTTGCTTTATTTTTCTAGGTAAAAATTCCAAATCTAAAGTGTTTTGTTCTATCATGTCCTTGGGAAATATCATGTTATAAAGAATTAATTCTGCCACTTCTTTATCGAATGACAAATTTAGAAAAACTTGGTTTATATCTTACGTTCTATGTTAAGGATACATTTATTGATGGAAATCATATAAAGACAAATATATTGTCACATATGCCTCAACTAAATATATTTGCATTTCATATTCATTCACTTATGTTTATTAATAATCAAATAAATTTACCATCAAAAGAAGATATTCAAGAGACATTCATAGATTTTAAGCATACTAAAATAATATCTTATGTTGATTATTTTCTTGAAAAACAAATAGGTCAATGTCATATTTATTCATATCCATCTGAAATGCAATATTATCAAAATATAACAAATCATTTTCCAGGTGGATTATATCAATATGTTCGTTTAATATCATTATATGATGAACATCCTTTTGAACATGAATTTTTTATTCAAATTTCTCAATCATTTCCATTTCTGGAAAGTTTAACATTGATTAATAATCAATCACAAAAATATAAACAATCTTATAAATCAATAAATTATGATTACAATTCATCAATTGTTAAATATAATCATCTTATTACACTTGATATTTCAAAAGCTCATGAAGATTATATAGAAGAATTTTTATTTAATACAAAAACATATTTTCATAATAACATTTTTCTTGATATCAATTATAAATCATTAGAAAGAGTAACACACAATTTTACACGAGATGATACACGAATTAATTGTGCCAAAATAAATGAAATTATATTAGTTGGAGAAAAAACTTATTCCAGATCTTTGCAAGATTATTTTCCTACTGCAATAATACATTAATTATTATTTAAATAAAATAAATTTATTATCTTATTCAAAGATCAAATATTTTCTAAATATATCTATCAATAGAAAGAAGTGAATATCATCTTCTATGAAAAGTTCTTATCTGTCAAATAGTTTTGTTTCTTAATTTAATAAAAATATTCAAATAATACAAAACATTTAAGTGTCAACAAATAAAGGCGACTATAAGGGTTTGACTACACAATGGAATATAGGCAGATTTGTAGAGGAAGACTTGCTCTATCAATAAATTTGTTTTCCTCACCTGATCTTTAGGCACTCATCAGACTAAATCTTTCCTCGAATCAAATCATTGATGAGGGAACACAAGATTTTCTTAATGCTGTATGACAAAATCAAGTTATCCTATATCTTTTTTTTCAGTTTATGACTTATCCATTTCTCATGAAAACGCTTATCACTGTGTGCTTCAAAAGTGGACAAATAAATGTCCATAATAAAGTTATGTTTTTTTACCGGATTTCCTTGAAAAAAAATCTAAAACTCTCTTCGTCATCTTTTTTTTTTAAATAAATAAAAGATTAAGAGAGATTATTCAAATAAAAAGCTCATCATAGAGGTGAATAGAACTACAAATTATAAAGATTTTGACTTTGATAAAAAGAAATTTTTTGAAAAATGTTTATTAGAAAAAAAAACAAGCAAAAAAGAAACTAGTTATTTGAAATATATTGAAAAACATTGAGTTTGATTAAGAGTTGTTTAAGATTGACTTGTTAATATTTAGAATGATAAAAATAATTGGGAAGAATGAATTAATGTTTAAATAAATATTTAATGTTGAAATTAATAATGATATTATTTCTATTTTTCATTTACTGTTTGTTTTTTTATAAAAATAATTCTTTTCAGTTAATAATAATTCCGAATCATAAATAAATGAATGTAAAGCATTTTTTCTAGTAATCGTTACAATAATTTCTCTATGTACTGATGGAATAAAATCAAATAATGAATAACAAGATTCTTTATTTTTTTGATGCCAGTGCATTGCAAGATGTGAGATTTTTATTAGTCTGTTTGGTTTCTTCTAAACTTTGTAATAATAATATGATCAGAATTTCGTTGTTTTTATAGTCATATTCTTATAGAGCTTGTTGAACTCTATCGAATCGTATATAAATATATGGAAATTGATATTTCGCTCTACTTTAATAAATCAGACACTAGAAGAATATTTTGGATTTTAGAAAAATTTAAGATGTAACATGTTCAGTCTTAATCAATAAAACAATAATAAATTTTCATGATTCCAATGGAATTCAAACTAATTTCTTTTCAGATGATAATTTAAATCTTTCTCCCTGTCGAGAGGTATGTTTAAACTTCCGAGAAAATAAAGTTCCGTATTTACCGATATTTCCAACTACGTACAACAACGTAAATATATCAGCCGATGATGGAATAAAACTAATTATCAAAATTACCATGAAACTACGGAAACTTCTATATATCTTTAATTCTGAATATATTATACTATTAAGATAGGAAAGATAAGACCCTAATCCCCTGAGTCATAAGAAATTTAGCAAATTACCGAAATTACTGGGAAATATCGGTAATTATGGAGATTTCTAAATATCTTAAATTCTGAATATGTTGTATTATTTGAACAGGAAATATAAGACTCTATCCCTTAGAATCACAAGAGATGAAGGAAATTATCGAAATGACTAGAAAAAATTTTCACAAATTCCAGTAATTTTCTTAATTCCTTGTCATTCTCGGGGCTAGGTGCTTATCTTTCATATTCAAATAGTGTAATATGTTCAGAAATCAAGCTTTATTGAAATTTTCGTAATTGCCAAAATTTTCTAGTAATTTCGGTAAATTCCTTAATTTCTTGTGATTCTGGGGAATGGTCTTAT